ATGAACGATGAAAAATTTTTGAAAAGAAATAAATACAAATACATATGCAACAAATATCAAAAATAACCCTACAGTGCAGTTCGCGAAACAGCATTTCGTGTGATTGATTAGCTGCCAATTAAAACTACATAACTACAACACAACAGTTAAACTAAAGAACTTCCCCCCCCCTCCAAGAATAATAGGAAACTACAAAATGCAAGAAAGATGGCGCAGATAGACTAACTGATGAATACATACATATGGTGGGTGATGACCAGCAGTGAAAGAATCCAAGATAAGCAATTAACAGTGACCTAGAGGTACCTGCGGTCACCAGTCAGACACCAAATGATTGTGTTTCAACAGAAACGTGAACCCAGAACTCATCGTCCGACTGACGAAAGTACAAAGTATTGCTTTAATCGTTCGGTTAGTTACGCTCTATCACCCTGTGGATGATACCGGGTGGTGTGTGTGTATCTCCCGGATTCCGAATATAGAACAAACCCGAGCTCACAGTTCAGACTGTTCAGAGTATAAGCCCACTGGGACACCATACCGTGCTACACATGTGTTGGAGACGACTTACGCCAAAATAATTCCGCCTTCCTTTGGAATCGGTACCACCTCACACTTGGTAACATCGTCAACCATGACCACAATATATAGACTACCACTTCTTCTTGCTGGTGGTAACTGTCCCATAAAGTCAGTCCTATTACATTGATGATGCCTTCTTGTTAACATCGGGATCATCGGAGCGCAGCCTCTATTCTGAGGAGATTTCACATATGCACAGGTCTTGCAACTTTTGCAAGCCTCCTCGTCATCACGATGCAAAAAAGTCCACCTTAAGCGTTGTTGAAGCGAACTTTCTCCCTGTTCCATGTTCATCATGCATTTTGTCACGTGACATTGCACTTTCAAGGGGGGTAATATTAGACGAGGTAGTTTTTTCTGGTCCTGCTAAGTAAAGCATATTGTCAAACTAACGTAGTTATGCTCAGCTCACCTAACACAAACATCACGCGACAGACACTAGAGACAGACGCTGCATTTCTCGACTCGAAGGTTTGTCATTCTCACTTGCTTCACGGTCATACATAATCTATAAGTCAGGATCGGTTGCTTGAAGGGAAGCTCAGTAACCACCTTTATCAAAGCCACTGAGAAGGAAAGGCGTTTCGTGTGCCGGTGGTCTCCAGAATAAGATATAAAGCATCAGCATTGCAGTGTGACGCCTGTTCTATGCATTCGCACCTGAAGTCAAATTCTTGCAAGCATTCAAGCCGACCAGCAAGTTGGTCGCCTGCATCAAAGAACTTCTATAGCCACTGCAACCATGGATATTCTATGATCCGCCAGGACCTGAAATTTGTGCCTCAATAAATTACCTGGAAAATAGACGAGAGCTAACATCTCACGACGTTTCGTTGAATAATGTGTCTATCTCTATCTCTCCCTCTCTTAAACAACACATCCGGTTAGCATGTGCGATAACTCACAGTTAGCCCGTCAGGCACCAACTCCGAGAGAACAGTTACCATACAAGATCTCTGATCTTAAAAGATGGAGACCAGATTGCTGCCGACTGCTCAGGAAGGCATTCGCTTTAGTAAAAGACCATTTTTCAGAACCGAAACATTCATTCAGGATCTGCTAGTTGTCTATAAGTGCGTTAGCCTGTGAGAAAACCCCAACGATAACTTGATGGAGAGCATCATCAATTTGGGCCAGCATCGCCTACATATAACGACCTTGTGGCGGGAGGCACCCTAGGACACACTGTATGCGAAATTTCCACACTTCACCAAATCGCCACCAATGTCCAGCATTAGTAGGCCTGAAATCGGAAAATGACTCTAGCGGTGATACAGACGTACTAACGTTGACTATAAATAAAGTTGAGTGTGGCTCATGTTGACCGAACTTTGGGTTCATGTGGAAGCAGAAAACGATGTCCGAGGTGTTACAGACCACTGAATCGACTCGATGAGATTTGAGTTGCAGTTCAACCGAAGCTAAACATCTTACAGATCGTGGGATTCCTCATGAAGCGTTATTGTCAATTGTTTACTGACATCGATCGCGGTTACATTGAAAACACCTGCATAATTGTTTTAAACCGTTTGTTTTCGCTTCATACAATTACTTGGAATTTGTATTAGTAGATGGTAGGCATGTATGGACACGTAGGTTGTGTAGTTGTTTGTTGGGACTACTGTGGTTGTGAATCATGAAGTGACGGACTGCTGTCCCTTGGGAGATTGAGACTTGATCAGTGGTGGGTGGAGTGAGAGATGTTACCACTGAGATAGCATCTATTGACGACTGACTTGTAGGTCTGTTGATGGAGTATACATGGTCATGCGTGCAGGACGTTTGTGTTGGTGGTGACTAAATTCTGTCAGTGAAGTGATCATGAAGTCTGGTGAGGTGACTTCCCGTCACTCACGGTGTACTTTGAATATTGGTGTTGGTTTGACCATGACTGCGGTTTATTGACCAGTGCCATCGTTTCATGTTTCCTTTCCAAACGTTAGTTATTTTCTTCTATGGTAAAACTGTTCGATATTTTCATAAGTAGTTGACTGACTTAACTGAGTCGACTAGAAAAATAATCACTAACATTCTGTGCAGTGTAATCTACTAGCTGTGACGAGTGGTTAATTAGAAAGAGATGCACAGCACAGGGTGATGACCTCACAGAACGTGCAAACCAAAAGAAAGAATCAAGCAATACTTAGTACTTTCGTCAGAACGCACGATGAGTTTTGTTGGCTCAAATCCCATGTGCAACACCGTCACCCAATGACTATATTCAGTGCTTTTTTCCTCAGATCGATTTCGAAATGAACTCAGGTGTTTCATCAACTACTCAAGTATGACTCTCTCTCTCTCTCTATTCAGCGTATACACCAGTCACTACAATATGCACAACCAGTCATGCCTACATTTTCTGGCATGGAGAACTTCTAACCTAGTAGTATTTGAATACATTCAGCGAACATATTATCCATGACATATACTCACCATATTTTCAACTCATTATTACATCATAGATATATTGAGAGATAAATATCACATTGACGATACACTGCTTAAGTAGCCTGAGCCAAAATAAGTACACGTGTGGACTCGAAACTCATCAGTAATATATAGAACGTAGAGTTCTTAAAGTCTGGGCAGTCACCCATCACTCACACATAATAAAAACAAAACATGCAAGAAGTCTGGTGGCACAAGTCAAAGAAAGTGGAGAATCACAAGGAGGAATAGAATAGAAGTTCCTTGCCCACCTCTAACTACCTAACTAAATACAGTTGAACCATCGACTTAAAGTGTAAATCTAACACAACTTGGCTTCACATCCATCCAGCCAGCAAGCCAACCAGCAAACTCACATAGGACTGATGAAGTGAAAATTAAGACACTCATTAAGCGCCAACGTCAATCATACCACTGGCCTTCCTCTGTTCACACAGAGTGAAGCAGTGAAGCTACGCAAAAAAAACCACATGTATGAATGAAAGTTTTGCATAGAGTTCAATCATATTTAGTAAGACATCCGGTTAGTTTTAGACTGCTCACAGGTTAAGGTTTGTATCAACCTAATTACAGACATATTAGGCTTGGCCATAGGTAGTAGACTACTATGCTAGCATACATAGTTAGAGGATGAAATTTACTTTCGGCCTAATTGCTCTCCCCAACATCATTCGTCAGTTTAAGCATCTTCAGTGTCTGTCTAAAGTTAAACTATGTCTGAGGATTTTTCAATTATGACGTCAACCTGTTGACCATTTTGGTCAGGTAGTTAAACTTCAACTTTGCCATCGATGACATTCTGGAGTCAGCTCTGAAGGATGTGCGTGAAGGTGGTGTACATCTGCTACCTGGAGATAGACTTTTCGACCTCGAATATGCAGATCATATCGTCTTACTGTGCGATAGCATGCAGGCTGCTCAAATCGCACTTAATCAGTTGGTGATCAGTGCCTGTAAGTATGGTATGTACTTTGCGCCGTCTAAGTGCAAAGTACTGTTACAAGATTGGCAGGAGCCTGTACCTGTGGGTGAACCACTTGAAGTTGTTGATAAGTTTGTGTATCTGGGTAGTTGTGTGAGTGCTGGCGGACGGGTGACGGATGAGATTTCCAACCGTATAATGAAGGCTAAGGTGGCATACATCAACTTGAGTCACCTCTGGCACCGTCACGACGTTAGCCTGGCTGTCAAAGGTCGGGTATACAATGCTTCGGTGCGCGCTGTCTTACTCTACGCCTGTGAAACCTGGCCTCTCCACGGTTCTGCGTGTTCCATCATCGCTGTCTCCGCAGGATTACTTGCGTTCGATGGCATCATCGCGTGAGTAATTCCGAGGTTCGGCGGCGAGTCTTTGAACACAGTGGATATCATCATTCATTGAGTGTCGTCATCTGGAAACACAGACTCCCTTGGCTTGAATATGTGCTGTGAATGTCATCTCAGAGGCTTCCGTACCGGTGGTCTCTGTTCGCTAGCCCTGGGACAGGATGGAAAAGGCGGACGGCTGGTCAGTCCATGACGTGGCTTCGTCGGATGAAAGATATTTGTGCTAGATTAGCATCGGTTGGTGCGTCACGACTCCCTGGTTGGGGTCCGTAAGATAGCTCGAATCGATGGCTCGAAACGTTATCGGATATGGCCAAGAATCGTAATCAATGGCAAACGTGTTGCAATTTGCTTCTTTCTTCCCTTCCTGATGATAGTTAACGAATACTGTTTGAACTTGTTAAACATGACTGTTTTCCTTCAAGATGAAATTCTCTATCCGTTCTCTACTTATATTTTTCACTTTTGATCGATGTTGTTTTATTATTGTTGTTGTGTGGCGCATCTTTTTGGTGCCATATTGTACCAAGTTTTTTCTTCTGCGTTTGAATAAATAAATAATATACAGAGGAATCAATAGCGAAAATAAGTACACTTACTGCATTACAACAGATCACTTTGATCTTCCCACTGGCCGACTGATTTCATCGCAATGCAGGAAACTCACTAGATTCATTCAATGGGCGTAAAGCATTTCTCACCTTCCCACCACCACCACTATTACTACCGCTAGCAGTACCAGTTTTCCGACTATTGTCCTTATCACCTCTTTCAATCCCAACATATTTCAACTGTTCCATTGGACCATAACGATAGTCGAAGAATAGTTCTTCCCCCGGGAGAATAGCACGCTTGGCAAATATACCGATCCGATGATCACCGTTCGCCATCACCACCTGTACACAGACAAACAATAACACAACTGATGGATCATATAACAAACAATTCCCCCCCACACACACTCTAGTCGTACAGCGCATAATGCCATCACTGTGAAGATAAAGTTATCGGATAAGAGGACACACAGATACAGTGATGGTTTGTTTACTGATGTCATCTCAAGCAGAATTCATCACTCCTCAGAATCATATCAAGGCAATCTCTCATGCAATCCCTTCGCTACTTCCTTCATATGATAATAATTTCATCACATTTCTTATCCTTTCATTTTATCATCCCTACTTACTTCACACATACACATACACATATACATTCGTTAGGGCAGAGGCAGTTAAATTCACCTTGGAATGGAGTCAGAAAATCCACAAGGAGAATTACCTGTCCTGTTGGATTAAAAAACAAAAAAACCAACAGGAGAGGATATACTATGCACCAGAGTTTGTGGAGAGCCAGCCCACTCTAATCTAATAGACATTTCCACATTAATTTATCTAAACACCCGTTATCGGTAAAGGCAGGCTCATTGAAAATGCTGAATTCACTGACGTGTGGCCTTACAAATTTGACTTCGCTTCCAAAGGGTTATTCTCTCAGGCACAACTGCTTTACAATGACACCTCAGTGTCTTCGAATACACTCCAATTGGACGGAGACAAACAAAACTGTCGAATCAACTAGGACAGACTAGAAGATACCATATGCATAATTACATTCTCCTCAAGGACACTTCTATCACACAACATCAACGTCAACAGTGTACAGCCATTATTTTCTATATCACACTAGATTATTTCCACTAAACTCACTCAATCATCATATTGAGTATCAAACACTGAAACATGCAAATACATCACGTAGAAGCCCCGAATACGACTGACTGTCCAGTGAAGTGTTTGACACGACACTACTCACTGGTATATACATACAATGGTTGACAGCATACTTTATCCACGGTGCAAAAACTAGATCGACAGTAACGGGAATATATGTGTGTCACAGTGCACGGATGCACAGGTTCCAAACGAATCTTTCGCTACACACACACACACACACACATTCACTGTCGAACACATCCTATCATCATTTGATTACCAACGTTTACATAATAAAGTAAAAACATTTACAACATAACACACATCATTATTACCTATCGTTAAAATCACTACACACAGAGACAGACAGTGAAAATAGATTTAGTGAGAGAAGATAATAGTCGTCGTTATGTTAACTAAGTCGTCTTCTCTCTATCTCATCTCTCACTTGTTCTGTGTGTGTGTGTGAGGGGGTGTACACCTACCTAGTGTCTCCACCAAATTCTCAGATTCTCCTTCTTCCAGCCTCAACCCCCCCCCAACTCCACTCATTCTTTTAGTGAATCAGATGCATATTCAGACAACGACTGAAAGGAACATCGCACAGCAACAGACACACACACACACCTTGTATACACATCCACCATACGCAGCCGCCGCCATTCAGCTAGCTACCTAGCTAGCTGGGAGACAGTGAGGATTCAACACATCATCATCATCATCATCATCATTCTAAATGAATCCGACAGAAAAATCTTCGCAAAACTACTACTCGCATATATAAAGAAACACACAGGAAAGGTTTAAAAAAATATCAAACTATTTGGGTATCTTACACATCAACACACACACCCACACACACACTTACTCACCCTTGCATAACAATTTGGATTAACCGAATGATTGGCGAATCGAATTTTATTACCCTTTCGAGTAGCATCCACAACAAACTCCCGATTAAGATTGAACAAGAAACTGCTCATTGTTTTATCATAAATTTTTCCTATTAGAAGGAGGGGAATGAGATGAAAACACAATGAAAAAATGTTGAAAAAGTTGGTGCGACGATTATCCATCCGCTGTTCAAGAACACTACTGCAACATGTTCTTCCAGTCACCTTTCTATATTAACCTAGTGAATGACGGACCGACCGATAGCTGCTATCTTGACGTGGTGGTCGGGCTTGCACATCGCGATGACCCAACAAGCTACATTAGCTTGTAAGAATCTTTCTTACACAATGCTGGGGGTCTGAGGGCGAAGTCGTACTGATGGGGAACAGGGGTGTGTAACAGCAGTGAGGGTTTCCCTCACTCAGATGACCAGCATGCCAGCCATCTAAGCTGTCTCTCCACTCCGGAGAGAGGGGATTAGAAAAGGTCGACCCCAAAAATTGTACATCCGGACTTGCCCCACCTACGGTGGTCCGTAACCGGCGGTAAGTTTACTAATAAGGAACCAATCCCAGAAGCCAGTTCATACAGGCCGTGTGTGATCGGCCTAAGGCAGTTGTCCCCTGCGCTCAGCAGTCACGCGATACTAACCCTCTCTCTCTCTCTCAGTTCCAGGTACCCGAAGAATCAATCAACTTCCACGGTGTGGCCAGCCGGGAAGTAACAACTGTCCACACACTTCCAAGAGCAAACGAAGCCTGAGTGAAGTAGAGAAAGCAGCATCCAGCGATTGTTACCGTGGACATCAACAGTCTTCAACGAATACTACTACTACTACTACTAACACCGCCCACTTCAAAGAGAACAAATAACACGGACAGTTGTGGTGTCCTCATATCGCAAATTCACAGATTATTATTACTATTATTGTTATATAAGCACTGACGTGGTACAGGACACTAAGGGTACCACCACCACTTCATGAATGATTCTTTAAATGGAAGATTTCTACAACTTAGCTATCTTTACTCATAGATGTGTATCACCGTTCTATCTCCCATGTAAAGTTACAGAACATGATGAGTAATACTGACACGAGGTACACACACTGTCAGCTCAGGACAAAAAAATCAATCCAACACGCTGAAGAGATTCACATGGCTACAACATGTACGATACATGCTGAGTCAATGTATTCCTCCTCCTCCTCCACCTTGTACAACGAACGCTGACTGACATACGATTACATTCAAAAGGAATTACGAGTGATCAAATCAAAATCTCCCAATAAACCCACAAACTCTCTGATTGTTCGTTTCAGCTAGCCATGTAGGAAGCTAATATTTACACCACCTTGACTACGGTCGTCAAGAAGTTAGAGAGGTAAGGCAACGAACAAACCAACTCGCTATTGCTCGCTGAACAAATATGCCGAAGAAGACGGAGATGGATCGGACAAACCCTCACACCATCTCTCAAGTGGGAACCGAACGAGAAAAGACGACATGACACATTCCATGGTCACATACACACATATGCAGGCGATCACGTGAGGCAAAGCAAATAATGAAACCTCAAGATCAATTGTGTAGTCAGCTAATGAAAGACTCCAGAAAACGAAGATCTCCGGTTGAAGCACCACATTCCCCACTCAGCGGTCAAAGGCATGACAATCACCATAAAAAAAGATAACCATTTCCTACTTTAAATTATCACTTTCATTGATTTGTTAGTAAATAATAATAATAATAATAACCGCAGAGTTTAACAACTTACCACGCCGATCTGCTTCATCCTGGCTAATAATCTCACCACAATATTCGTAGATGAACTCATTCTTCTCGGCACCGTCTTTGATGAATATGCCCCAACTATGAAATATATGTGTGCACAAAAATTAAAACATTACATATGACGCTGTATATACTACTGATTCATTCATCGGCCGACATAAGTAGTGCTGGACAGCTACCTAGATAGCTAGCTAGCTAGCTAGCTAGCCTGTTGGACCAAGGTGATCCATCTAAATATACACAACGGACAACCATTTCTCTCGTTTTCTGCATCTAAGTTCATTATCGGTGTACCTAGTATTCACTCAGCTCATAGGGAGTCAAATCATTTGAAACTATCGAAAGTCTCCATAGCTAGCTAGCTAGCCAGCCAGCCAGCCAACCAACCAACTAACTAACTAAATAATCGGGAGAACAACTTGTAATACATTCAACTTACAAATGGCACATCTCATCTAAGCACAAACTACTAGTGTAACGCTGTCACTATTCTCTCTAGAGAGAGAGAGAGTACAGTTCGGCGTCCAAAGCTATTCACCACAGTACAATGTATCAAAATCTTACAGTTTATATTTCACCGCCATATCCCATATTAACTTCATACTTGATTTCACAAATTCACCTACTTATCTATTCTAAAAATATCTACCTCTATTGTATTAAATTCTGTCTGGAAACCACGCAAAATATACACTCAGTAATTCTTATCAACATAGATATACACTGAATAATTTGAAACTGGACACCGAAGAGACCAATGGATAGTTTACACATCATCACTCTATATATATACACACACACAAATACCCATCAATAGGCCTATAGAAGCGCTCAAAAACCCACTCATTTCTCACCAACAACTTCCACTTACAACCAAAGTAACACTAGAAGACTTCACATACCAACACTCCACCACCAATGCCTGACTTCTCTACATCAATTTAATTCCAGGGGAAAATAAACAAACAAACTCAGGGTGCTGCCATGGGATCACCAATAGCACCCTACCCTATACTTGCATACATAATTGAGGATAGGTTGGAAAACCTAGTGAATGAAACTTCCAGCACTTTCCACCTTCAAAGTGTGCCCGAGCTATGCACATCACACTTTTACAGTGCTTAACTAAACAGCAGTAGTGTGAGGCGATCTTTCAATCGAAGACTGAGACTTCATCGTCATCATCAACAACAACAACCAAAATTAAATTACACAATACAAACAACACTGACACTCTCTTACCCAGACACATCAGATGGCGCCATCAACAGATGCTTCCGCCAGCCTCTTTGTAACGCCACATTTCGACATGTACCAGTAACACGTGGTGAACTAATCGTTAACGCATTCAATAAATCCGTCATTGAAGAGAATGTTCCGAAAGAAGACTGTGCTCCACACGACACGCATATGTCGGGATCACATTCTCTAAAGGCCAAAAAGCAAGGACATAGTTTCGTATTACAGTGTCCACGGCAACGACATCCTGGAAACCTGAAGTAAGAAACCCAAAACAATATTTCAATTTTATACACACCTGACTCACTGACTTATCCATTCAAAAAGAAACTGTAACAATTACTTCTTTACCATGACAACTCATCTTTTTTTCAACCCTAATTTATTATATCATCATCATCATCTCGTTCACCAACTATAATCGTTGATCTCTATTTTCCGTCATTTGTATGCAGCTGATAAAAGGTACCGACGAAATAAACCCTTACAGTGTGTGTGTCGATGATATTGCCTTGTACAATATTTAAAACTCCATTCACACGTACACAATCTCACCAAGTTCGCGCTGCTTCAATAGCCGATCCTAAGCACCAGAAGAAAAAACGGAGGAAGGTTGGGTGTCGAGCTACCGACCCTAGACGAGAAAATCAACCCACTCAATACACAATCTTCAAAGCCAAATTAATAATAAAACTATTTACCTTAGGAGTCGGAGAAACGGTATGACGCAAGTGGTGAAACCGTTCGCAAATCCAGTCAGCTGATGTCTTCTCACAAAGAAGGCGAAAATCTTCTTACAATGTAACGAAGATCCGAATATGCTTACCAGGTTATCAAAGAAGTAGGGGCATAGAATGGCATAGAAATGTTACGAATCTCTGTCAGAGCAGATGCAATCGAAGTGAACTCTCCACATTGTTAACTTCAGAGTTAACAATCTACTCCGGACATCTATACGACAACCACAGCACACTGAAGCAGTGGCTTTCATGAAGTCAATAACAGTATCTAAACCACTGGTACAGTTGGGCAACGTTTCCAGAGTGACATGGAAGACACCACATAGTAGTGATGAGGAAACAAAAGCTTATGACCAATGGGAGAGTCAGCTAAACAAACAAAGCACACGACAGGGTGAAATGTCGAGTTCGTACGCCACACATGCAACCCTACTACCCTGTCTTCCACTCCGTATTCACAACGAATAAGAAGAAAGGAAGAAGAACAGTATTCTCTTCAAAATTCAAAAATTTAAAGTCTACAATCCACTACGCAACACTAGACTATGTACTACACTCCACTTACAGTTGACTAAAAACAATCCCATTAAAACAGCCACTCACCTATTCCTACAATCAGGCGGACATTGACAAAATTTTTCACAGAATGTTCCAGCCTTTTTACACAAACACGACTCATCACATCGTTGACCGGGATGATCACACGGGTGATAATGATGTGCCGAAGGTCCAACCGGTAGAACACTATTACCATGATGTTGAGAAGCACTCGTTTGTGAATTCTCATCCTCGTCTATATACCAGGAAAGAAAGAAAACAAAAACAAACAATAACCATGTAGTATCATTACTTTTCATTATTATCCCATTCGGGTTCCAAGTGGAATATGGTGAGTGGTGTTATTGAATTTTACCACCACCAGATAGGTGGGCTTGAAATAGCCGCCTCACGCCAAACCATCCATTCAACCGCCTCTTCATGCGCTTACTACCCACATCAGTAGTGATAAACAACTACGTGAGGCCTAACAATGCATCGATGGTCACGAATCGAACACCAGCCACCTCAGCATGACTGGTGAGCACTCTACTAATCAACCACCACTAGACACACAGATGCAGTAGCAAACACATGCCAATGACACAAGAGAAGTCATCGTAGTAATTGTTGTCACGAAAACCCCATGCCCTACACCACTACACCTCCACCCTATCCTCAGGAGGAATTCAAATGAGAAGCCACCTTTCGACCATCGTTCTCGAGGTAACAGCATTGAGCGGACCATGTCAGCAGAGCGTATACGCTTCTATGTAGTCCTCGAGTCACCTGAGAATGACAACGAAAGGCAGAGTACAATACGAATGGGCTGCCGCTGAAGCCCTATGCTCTGCTCTGTTCTGCTCTACTAGGGATGCAAGGAATGAGTATTAACAATAATAAGAATTTAATACACAACAACATACGTAAGCGAATTGAATTTTAGAATTTCCCGTCGATTGATTGGACCGAAGTGCTCGGTCTCAGGTTGACATGCTGGCTTCTTGTGCAGATACTTCGACGATGTCTGGGCATGTAATTAGAAGTTAATTAATTCGTGGATGGTGACTAGCAGTGGAATCCAGGATAAAGCGCATTTCGTCCAACTTCGGATTCGTCATGTGGATGCAGGTACAAATGTCAACCTGAGACCGAGCACTTCGGTCTAATCAATCGACCAGAAAATCTAAAATTCAATTGAATAATCAATATGACCCGTTGCACAAGAGGTGGGTGGCCCTCGTGGCTCAAGTGGTCTAATGGATAACGTTTTGGCGTTGGAAACTATGGGCACTTGGTTCGAGTCCCGGTGGGAACACCATCACTCACTGGGGAATTGAATGTAGATGCATCCATGTGACGAGTCCCGAATAGGACGAAACGCGCATCCTGGATTCCACTGTTAGTAGTCACCACCCACCAATGAAATATCCTGTTTCTCTAATAAAAGCTCATCAGGCTTCAGTCCAATATATATCGTCGCTCATACATTAACAAATGATTACTATTGCATAACAATAATAATAATAATCCTATTAATGACAAGATGAACAAGTGGAATACTTTATGATAACAAGAGTAATCGAAAACACTAAACAAATCTTCACACCAATCTTGTAAAAGATAAAGCCTAACGAAAACAAATAGTAAGATTACATAGTGCTAGATTGTAAGGGACGGGGGGGGGCAGGAAATGCATTATGCTCTCATGAAGGTGCAATAAGAATAAGGATTGATATAAGATAGGCACGAATTTCGTCTGAATGCACACTTCAGGCCAATTAGTGATCAAATGGCATTGAGTGCCGATCATGGCTCGCAACATCAAAACACCTATCCTGTGAACACACACACAATTAAACGACCAATCATTCTCTTAGGTGAACCATGTAAACACTCAAATTTATCTATTTACACACACACACACTTTCTCTTCAGCATCATCGAAGTCAGTTCACAAGCACCAAATGAGGAACGACTTCAACCGCCACCACCACCACCTGACCACTTACCTTCACGAGGAGTTGGTAACTTCAATACCATCCTTCTTCTAGCCTGTTTCTTGGCTCGTTTACGACGATATGTTGTTGCTGTTGGTACACCATTACAACTACTCGATTCATTCCCCACCAACAACGCTTCATCACAAAACTCTCCATTCCCTTGTACACTTCCATTGCATGATCCTGCTGATTCTGCACAATCATAACCATCCAACGATGCTGTACTAGCCGATCGTTGACTCCATTCTTCACCGGTACCCGGTACACGCAATGTACTCAATTGACCAGAATCTGGCTTTAGAAGAGTTGGAAGATCCTGTGTATTTGTATATGCCAACACCTAAATCATAATAATAATAATAATAATAACAGTAGCAGTATTATTAATTATGATAATTCAACATATGGATAAAAGAGGCAACACAAAGACAATATCACGATTTTATCAAGTCTTGCGATCACTTGGAATGAAACGTCCAACCTCCAGTGGATTTTAAGCCAACAGTCTCCTGGCTAACCAGTCAAAAAGTTACCATTCCACAACAAAGAAACCTATGAAATTTAAAAGTGTTGTATTATCTACTCACTAGAAATCCGTAATACTTTTGTTCTTATTACTATTTTTTTATTATTGCCATCGTCAATATTCCTTACATGCGTCCACAGAGAGACGTACGGAGCCCTGTACTCTGAGCCCAGCCAGCTATCGATCGCATGTGGTATAGGAAGTCATCACAAGTCTTCATTTCCTCCAGACATCATCGTCAACGCCTATGTTAACCACGGCTGCGACACAAGCCCCATTCGGCTGTTCCAATTCTCCAGGTTTCACTACTCGACAGCCTACTTGGTGTTTCAAGTCAATTCATAGTCCCCTCAGCGTTTCTTTCATCCACCCATCCATCCATCCACATATTCATATGCGCATACACCGCCACCATATCTCCACAACGAAGACCACATCGCCAACCAGGGTGAAGGATAACCACTAACAAGCACTTCTCGTAGCATACAAATGCTTCTGGCAACACGCCAAGTCTCCGAAGCATATAGGAGCACTGACTTAACACGTTACCTTCTCCGTGTTGTGTTCCGTAGATTCTCACAGTGACATTCCCAATGACCGATTCTTTTATTGCCTCTACATGCCAACTGGAACATAGGACAGCTTCGAGCTCTCAAAACTTCAGTAGCAGCTGTGTGTGTGCTTTTGTTGTCGCCGTCGTTTATACACCGTGGAATTGCTCCCTTCAACATCCATCGAATCTACTACTTTTCAGGGCTTACTGCTAGTCACGTCAAGACAGATGTCAAGACAGCAATCGATTGAGAATAGAACCCCAACCCCTCACAGTATGACTATTGACTGACTGACTGACTGAGCATTCATTCTACCATTCAACCAATGACGACGCAACGGCTTCATCACTATCATAAAATGAATGGAAATGACAACAGACAGAGCGAAGAAATGCATTCCTTTACAAATTAGCTCTGCATTGTCGGTTCAGTTTCACATCAAAATTTTGCTAATCACCTGGTTGTTAGAAGTGAAATGAAAACGTGATCAACCCCTTTCTGCAAACTATTTCTACTTAACAAGAAGCTATTCCAATAAATATGTCATCCGAGCCAACATTACCTACCAGCCTATTCACAAAACTATATTATAGTAGCCGCAGAACCCATCCATTCAGTGAGTAGACGCACACACACACACACACACGTCAGTAACAACCACAGTCATAAAGTCAGTCAACATACTTTACAAGAAGAATCGAAAAAAGCCTATTCGAAAATGATCACACACATTTAACAGAAAACACTGAAGCATCAATAAACTCACATCACAACACTTTTTCGTTCCAAGTAATTTCGACAATCTACAGCACCAGTTGTATAAATTGTACGATGGATCTCCGTAAGGGATAAACAGTGGAGCCAACACTTCATATAGACATTTTTCATCATGACTCCATTCCACGTTGCTGGGTGCACGCGTTGCATCACATCTTTTATTAGTATTATTGTCATTCATTATGTTCTGTCCAGCAGTGTCATTCACCGACTGGCGAACACACCATGAACCACAATATGGTCCATCCATTTCTAGAAATCACAGAGGTAGAGAAAAGGAGAAAGGAAAATATACACATCAAGTCTGAGGAGAAATATTCCCTCACAAAAATCAATAAATTATAGCATCCTTATGATTGATATTATTTCCATTATGGATTAATTTCAATGCAGATTTCTTCTTGTGATAATCACAGAGGGATTAGCTTGACTAATATAGTATCTAAAATCCTAGGCTCAATAATACTGCGTAGACTAAGTGGTGCTCGGGAGGCACAAACATGAGAAAACCAGGCAGGTTTTAGGCCAGGAAGAGGGTGTATTGATCATATATTCACCCTTCGACAGATTCTAGAACATAGGCATTCTTACCGGCGTTCAACAACCGTTATATTTCTTGACCTAAAGGCGGAATTCGATTCTGTCGACCGAGAGGTTTTCTGGAGATGCTTGGCTGTAAAGGGAATGCCGAGAAAATACATTGCACTGATTAAGGAACTCTACTCGTACTCATGCAGCCAGCCAGGTGAGGGCTTACGGCGAGTTGTCATCTGAAGTGGTGACAACTAGTGGCGTCCGCCAAGGATGCCCATTATCCCCATTTCTATTCAACTTCATCATAGACGTACTAATGGACTTAACCCTAACATACTTCAGAGGCTCAGGGATTGACTTGCTACCAGGGAATAATCTCGTTGACTTAGAATATGCGGACGATATAGTCCTTCTAGGCGAGGACGCTGACAAAATGCAGAGTCTTCTGAAAACCTTGGGCAGCAATCTTCGTATGTTTGGCATGCGATTCACCCCTGTAAAATGTAAGGTGATGTTGCAGGATTGGACTACACCGACTCTTAGTTTAGAAATAGGAAGTGAAGTGGTAGAGAACGTTGACCGCTTCACTTTTTTGGGAAGTCGCATCAGCCAGTGCCAACGGGTCGATCTCTGACGAAATCTCAGCACGAATACAGAGGGCTAGTTTTGCATATGCCAGTTTACGCCGTCTCTGGCTTAGTAGACGTGATATCCGACTCGCTATCGACCAAAGGGCGTGTGTACTGCTCAGCAGTCCGCTCCGTCCTCCTTTATGCCTGTGATTGAGACCTGGCCATTGAGAGCAGAAGACATGAAAAGATTAGCTGTCTGTGATCATAGGTGTCTGCGTTCTATCTCCTGTGTGAAGTGCTATAATAAGTTGAGCAATATTGAGGTTAGGCATCAGGCGAGTGCTAGGTAAGAAGGGGAAATCAATCGATGAGACTGTGAAATTACATCGACTGAGATGGTTAGGACATGTGTTACGTATGCCTAGTCATTGCCTTCCTCGACAGACGGGCAATGTTAGCTGATATAGGGTCAGGCTGGAAAAGAGCTAGCGGCGGTCAAACAAAAACATGGCACCAGTCAATGAAATCCACAACAGTTAGTCTACGCCATGTAGGAAGATGTAGACTTCCTGACTGGTTGGGGTCCTCGGGACGGTAAAAACCAATGGTTGGAAACAATTGGTGACATGGCTCAAAGTGATCGTTCTCAATGGCTAACGCAGATGCATCCACTCCTTGTGACTTATGATTTCCAATAAAACTGTTTTCTTCTTCGTTATTACTATTCCTTTGTCTCACACCTCTGTTTACTGTCTATATTATGCATTTCTTCTACTTTCTTCTCTTGCTTTGTGTGCTACATAGAATGTGGCGACTTGAACTGACGCACATATGTGCAAAGTTCTATGTCGAAAACCGACCGACCGATCAATGCAGATTTCGTCACCAATCGACACCAGTTAGAGGGAGTCATTGAAAACCGGGAAACACTCGACAGCTGTTTCGCCGTATTTCCAATCCTCCAGTAATTCCCACCCACAATCCCGACAAAGATCGAAACTGCAACCTTCGAGTTACCGCCACCATATCAATCACTCCGATAAACACTCTCACTGACTGAGTCGGAGTTCAACGACCTGTCAATTACCCTTACACAGCTTTATCCTCAACTAATGCCATCGGCGACTATCCATCCATCTAACCCTAAAATGGCAGGCGTATCGTATCCCACTGGTCACTCCTTCTCACCCCACAACAATTTCATGGCATTTATCCGGTAGGCATATGTCCGCTGCAGATATGTTGAGATATATTGACACTGCGGTTTTTTGTTGCGGTTTGCATCAATTTCATTATAACTATTATCCCCTCGGTTCTTCACGAGTGGAACACAGACGTTTACCCATCCCGTGCACAACTCTATTTCACTCTCATTCTCTCCAATCTTATTCTATCAGCTCACTAACCCCACTACCAATCTCCATCAGCTTTCATTGCATCCACACCTCAAACCATCTCCTCCATCTCACCTTCGGACGAACATCCCACCTTACTAGTTGCTCACCTCCCGTTTCATCCATTCCAGTTCCACCCGAGAGCATGCTTCATCTGTAACATCAATCAAACATCTCCTCCGACTATGTCCAATCCATCTGTCCCCATTTCCCTCTGCATACTTCTTGGCCGATAGGTTCTTCATTACCGTGTACGTTGACAGAATTCATTCTTGCTTAATTATCTATCTATCTTTCCCAGTCAGCCATTTCATATTCACTATTGACGAATACAGTCACCCAAATAACAACTTGCAAATCCCTATGAAGGCGACGAGGAGCCACAACACACCTATGGCATGTGTGTGTGTGCGCGCGTATGTCTGAGGGGCAGTGATAGTAACACCTACGGTTGCCCGAACCACTCTCGGTAGATGCAGTGATAGTTTAAACCCGTCACCCAGTTAGTTGGTGCACAGTCGACACTCTAAACCAATGAGCACCACAGATCCACTCACGAAGATAAAGAACCTGCGGTATATACATACACTCATATGTCGTTCATAAATCATACCCAATCTATAAATACACAACTCTCAAACTCAGCTCTTTTCATATCATTTAAAGCAAAATATTCGAATGAGAGGACGGAACAAACTAAGTAGCACAGAAGAAAATTCAGTGACACAAAGTAAACGGGAGACTATCAAAATAAAAATGAAACCATCATCAGGTCAAACACGTATGCTGAATATATACACACATGCATATGCTGTCGTTGATGGTGATTGGTGCTTGTTGTTGTGTGTCTAGTGAGGCAGATTCTTTCTACTCGGTGGAGGGAGAAGGATTCAACATACTCCTTCTGAACAAAGAATTTCGGTTGATAACGCTCAATCGTAACTCCCCTACACCTATGCTTAGCAATCCAAGGCGTACCAATCTAGGGAATTCAAGTGACACCCTCGATAGAATTGTAGGGGTTGGATTTTTATCAGTCTTCTCCTTCACCTTATCTACTAGGCGTGTCAATATCCAGTATCTGATTCACCTACAAACTCTTCTTCCTAACCACCTTTGACAACCTTCAACAAGGCCACCGTGAGCTTCACGAGTCATTCTGCCTATGTAACTGCCTCCACTGAACCTCAATTTGTAAGTCCAGCACACTCGACCGACCAAACCCGGCAGCCTACCTATCCTTCTCCTACCTGCATTCGAATTCCACAACTAAGGGGGGATTTCAAATATAGTCGTGCGGCAAGCAATCGTTTTAATATTCTTTTCCGCAGTTTCCATGCCAGTAATTCAGTGGCTGCATCTCCTTCGAACAGTAAGGTCAAACATAAACATTCTTTACTCCTGTACCCCTTCTACGCATTTCTCTCCGTCTCTTCTCATCATACAGACTTCCGTTCTACTAACCACATTAGTTTCAAATGTCCAGGATTAACGTCTTATTAAGGAAACACAAATCCTGAGATGAGAGATTACCGAAAACACGCACTTCCTTAGATTGTGAATGGTGATGTACACACACACACACACAGAGTTTCGGTAGGTGGAGCAGGGACAGGGTGGTTGGTTAGCCGTAGAGGAGCAGTAATTCAAATGACATTTAAAAATCGAATTCATCACTAACCGACATTCGTTTTTCCATTTACCGGCCAACGATGGCTCCACATCGACGGCGTAGACTTATACGGATGTAGGCAACAATCATACTTGAAACACCGACGACAAAACAATGTCCGATAGGAGTGTAAAGCATCACCTCGTGAAAGGTTTTTATGTCGACCACTGATCACCGCATTGTGCACCTCAAAGGGATTGTCTAGATTTGGACAAGGCATCGGCGTCTCCTCATTTGACTACAACACAAGAAATAACACATTTTATTGATCCAAACGCACGCACACGCACACACACACACACAAATTATTGGCAAAACTTACACAGATGTAATCAATGAAGAAAAAACACTAGAACCCCGTAATTTCCTACCTCCCTCAAACACCGATTAAACAAATAAACAATATTGCAAATGAAATAAAATAGACAATGTTGAAGCATAATATCCATCCACTCTATTTCCTTGGCTCCCAACAGCTGCAAACAATCCCCCACAACATCCAATAAAACGAGTTATAATACAATTTAGACAAACATTTCCTGCATCATCAATGACTGTCGTAAGAAACACTGATGATTGCGTAACGAGGGATATTAAAATACAATCACACTGGAATTCACAACATTCCAGAATCAAAATCTCCTGTGTACGAAATTAAATGAAATGATGATGAAATACAGTGATGAGTAGAATTCAAAGGATAAGCGTGTAAAACCTTCTCATACCTACCACCCAGTTACACACACGTTCTAGTGTAAACAAGGTGGAACTTCAACTGTGGTGAGAGCTGTCTACTAGCCAAATTGGTAGACAGTAATTTACGTCAATGTTTACGTCCTCGATATTGGTCGTGAGAAAAATAAGAACAAAGACTGATTCAACAACCAACCACAGCAGACTTTGCGTAGGCGGATACAGTTAGCACATAGATGATGATCTGACATTCAAGAAACAGCCACAAAGAGACGAAACAACCAATCAGAAGACTGTGTTTGTTTGCTTAACTAATCTATAATAATGTACATCAAAATCTATAAATATGTGTTGATTTCCTTTATAAACGATCTCTTGCCTGACCTT